AGTCAGGGAGCTCCCATAAGGTGGGTACTGCAGTACTCCTTAGAGACTATCTCATCCAACTCCGTAATTTTTCAGAAGAGGGAGGTGAGACTCAGAGAGGGGAACACAAGATCCTGCCATAATGTTGTGGCAGAGTAGAACCTAGAACTTGGTGTGCTTGTGCTCTCCACAAACCATGCAACTTATCACTTAAAATAAAGGCAGCTTGGTTTTGTTCCCTGTTTCACACTCATGAGTCTTCTCTTCCCAATGAGATCATGAGTTGCTTGGGGGCTTCTGCTACAGCCTCCATGGCCTCACCAAGACTAGGGCTGGACACAGTGGGTGGTGCTAAGGAAGCACAGATTTTCTGATGGATTGTCTTCTGTCTGGCTCCTCCATGCTCTCCTTCTCGCTGCCCTGTTCATAGCTCTCATCAGCATCATTTGAGAGTTCTCATCCAGGTTAGGACCCAGAGTCCTGATTTAGCCCTGCTTTGGCTATGTCCTCACTCTTTTTCATGTCTCCTGATGGTGGCTAGAGCTCCAGTGAATGAATCTGTCATGAGATGATCTCCAAGAGTCCAGCATGAGGGATTCTGACCTTGCCTTATCATTTGCTTCCAGATCGGTGCCTCTCTCTTTGCCAGTAATATTGGCAGTGGCCAGCTTGTGGGATTGGCTGGGACTGGAGTAGCATCAGGCATCGCCATAGGAGGCTTTGAATGGAATGTGAGTAAAAGACATGGAATGTTGGAGTAGGAGGAACAGCTCCAGATAGAGAGTAGAAAATGCTGGAGCTTAGAGGGCCTTAGAACATGGATGTCAGAGCTGGGAAGGGTTTTAGAACAGGGAAGGTCAGGGCTGGGAGGGCCCCTAGAACAGAGAATGTCAGAGTTGGGAAGGGGACTTATTTAGGCCAAGCTCCTCATTTTACAGAGGAGGAAATTAAGGCACAGAGAGAAGAAACGACTTGGCATGTGTCATGTAGCAAATTTGCAGTATTAGCATGGTTCCTTCTATCTTCCTTTTGACCCTACAAACCCACCCAATCAGTTCTTGTCAGTGATGTGGCCCTTTCCTCATTAAACATTTTCATTAGACTATCTTTTAATGGCAATGATGTAGTCTCATCTGGAGGTCAGAGGACTGTGGAAAGTTGTTGCTAGCCTTTGGTCTCTACTGAGAATGTGGAAACTTCTGAGTCCTTCTGCATTGCCCACCAAGTCCTGTTTCCATCAGGGATATTGAATGGGGAGCCCTCCAGCCTATATGTGCTGTCCAAGAAATTCTATCCCTAAGCTTCTTTATGGTCAAAGGGAAGGAAAGGTTGAATGATATTGTACTGGATGCCAAAAGCCATCTCAAGGTCATCTGTTGACCCATCTTAGTTGAAACCCTCTGGGGTCATTGGATTTTCAGGTAATGCATAGGCCAAGATGGGATACAGATTATGTTGTTTTCTAAAGAATTCCTTCTTGGTTTCAGGCCCTGGTGCTTGTGGTTGTCCTGGGCTGGGTGTTTGTACCAATCTACATTAAGGCTGGGGTGAGTATTTGTTGTCTACTACTTGGTTACCTTCCTGCAAGTGTTGAAGGTATGCTGATAGAAGCCATGGAAACACAGTTGACTTTTCCCAGTGGTAGAGAAAGCTTAGCCTCTGGTCTTTGACCCTGAGTTCCCAAGATATTGACTGGCCTAGAACCACAAGATTTCACTGATGGAAAGGACCTCAGAACCCATACAGTCCATCTTCTACCTGGATGAGAATTCCATCACACCTGACAAGTGGTCATCTGGTGTCAGCATGGGGGAAGCTACAAATTAGTGAGAAAGTGTCTGTGTGTGCATGAGAGAGGTGGTTTGCCCACAAGTGAGCTTGTGAATGCATGCAACAGTTTAATATTTGTGTGTATATGTGGAAATGTGTGGGAGTGTGCCTACAAGTGTGAATGTGTGTGAGTGTGGAGGTGTTCACCTCCAGTTGTGTTGATGTTTCAATGTGTGTAAGTGTGAACCTAAGTGCTGGTTTCAGAATTTTTGCCTGCTTCTGAAAGATTCTGGACATGTGCTTGAAAGCGTGAGTGTAAATGTGTGTGAGATGCCTGATACTATTTTCCTTTCTAAAACTTGACTGCTGTCCTTTCTCTTCTCTTACCAAATGCTTAGTTGCTTCACCTGTTTGTTTTACTTTCTGGCTGTACTTGTCTCACCACCTGTTTTCTCCTTTCTTTGTGTTCTGCCCTTCAGGACCTTTCTTCCTTAATCCTTTTCCTCCTTCTCATTGATCCCTCCATCTCCTTTCACAGAGGTTGTTTTCTTTTGACCTAGTCTGCAGTTGTCTCAAATTTCTCCTTCCCAAATTCAATCCCTGGTCTTCATCACAAGTCTAATCCCCTTCAGATTGTAATTTCCATTTTCTGCTTCTTCAGCATAAGCCTTTCTCTCTTCTTCTGCTCCTCCCATAGAAGCTGGAAGTGGTTATTGTGTGATTGTAGGAATATGTATACAAAAAACTTTGCTCTTCAGGGTTCAGAATGTACTCCCAATTATGCACCTGAAGAAACTTGTTTCTTTATTATATTATCTTTATTATTTGTATATCATATATCATCTTTGTTATCGATATGTAAATAGCCCACTGGGAATCTTCAGTCTCAGACAAAGAAGTCAGAACTGACTCTATCCCAGCCATGACTAAACTGGGGCCCGGAAACTCAGGATTAAGGACTGATGCCATCTTCAACAAGGGTAGTTTCCTGTCTTTTAGACTTCTATGTGACCTGTCTAGTACTGATCTTATATTGTGCATACATTACAGGTGGTGACAATGCCAGAATACCTGAGGAAGCGATTTGGTGGGACACGCATACAAATCTATCTGTCTGTCCTTTCTTTGTTCCTTTACATTTTTACCAAGATCTCGGTGAGTTCCTCTCCCCTGACTATCCATTTCAGTGAATGTCTTTGCTTTAAGCTAATTGTATCCTCTGGCTGATGATAATTAAGGTAAACACACTGGTGGGGGCTCATGAGCTATACAATTTAGAAATGCAGACCCACAAGGTTCTTTTGACCTGGGGAGGCCTAGAATCATTGATGATACCACAACCTTGTGATATTTCCTCCACTCTCCTTCTTTTCCTTCCCCTCCTTCCCATTCCTCTTCCTTAATAATTTCAATTTCAAGAACACAGCAAGATTTACAAAGTGCTTTCTCCATGACAACCCCTTAATGCGAGAATTGTTGTGCCTGTATGCTGTTGAGAAAACTGAGTTCCAGGTGTCATGACTTCCCCATGGTCACACAGCTAAATTAATTTCTTCAAGTGGACCATGGGCATCAGTTGCTCAGGGATAAGTGTAGGATCTGGGCCTCCAACCCAAGTGTGATGGCTCCCATTATACCATGTTCTTACCTCTTCTGTAGGGAAGGGAAAGAAGGAATTTTGTCCAATGCCATGAACTGGGACTCAGCAAGATAAAGACATAAAATTCTTCCTTACACAGAGATAAGTAAATAGATAGAATTTATCATTCATTCATTCATTCATTCATTCATTATCTCCTTGGAATGGTATAAGCTGAAAACATATTTGGAGACCAAAAGGGTTTCCACCAATGCATGGATGAAGGATGTGTTCTTCTTTAGAATTTCAACAGATCTGTGTTTTTGTGGGTGGGAGGGTTTTCTCCAGCAATGCAGAAACCAACCCCTTCCAGTCTCACAGCTCATCAGGCCCTTGGAGGTCATCTAGCCATCTAACCCAAGCCTCTTATTTTTGTGATAAGAAAATAGAAGCTCAGAGCAATTGAATTACTTGAAGTCTTCCAACCAGTAAATAGGGGAGGCAGGATTTGAATCCAGGTCCTTGGAGTTCCCTGTCCCTTATTACTGATCCTGATGAAACAGGGAGCAAGACAGTATCAGTTTGAGATGGAGCTATGAAAGTAGTTGAGCGGTTTTTCTCTTGGGTATAGAAATGAAATCTTCACATCACACTGTCTTCTGCTTCTGCTCTGGCCTTTGTACAAGTTCAATTCAATTCAATTCAATTCAGTCTTATCCAATTGAATTCAATTAAATAAATATTTACTAAGTGCCTACTATGTGGACTCATCATAGGATCATGTATCATTGAGTCAGTCAAGTCAACAAACATTTATTAACTTCCTACTATGTGTCAGGCTCTCTGCTAAGTACTGGGGTTACAAAATGGGCAAAAACCAGTCCCTGATTTCCAGGAGTTATAGCCTAATGGGAGAGACAACATGTATATATGGAGATATGGAAATAAATAGAGAAAGAAAGGAGAGAAACTAGATAAGATGAGGGTTCGGATTTCTGTGCTTACTATCTCTGTGGCCTTAACCAGATCACTTCCCCTCTCTGAGGCTCAGTTTCCCCATCTGTAGAATGAAAGTGTTGGATACTATGGGCTCTAAGATCTCTTCCAGTGGGGACCTTCTACAAGGTAGCACTTGAATGGCTCTGGTCCAATCTTCTTATTGATGCATGAGTAGCAATCACTTTGTAGGAGGGGAGCTAGGCTCAGTCCTTTTCTGGAACCACCAAGTCCACAGTTCAGCTGGTGATGAGGGGCTGTGAGTCACAGTTGCCATGGCAGACCACTCTTTGCCCTCTGAGCTTGTGCTTGGGATAATAGTATAAATTAACCTAAAAGTACTGGCCTTTCTCACCTCCCTCTCTCCAACCCCTTGCCTCTAGTTACTGATTAAGCTGGCCTCACCCTGGAGCACCCCAACCACCTGTAGGGCTAGCCCAGGCTTGGATGTTACC